AAGTCCCCCCCCAAACCTCCAGAAACCCCCAGAAACCCTGTCAGTCAAAGCCCTATGGCAGCCGCTCTGTATATTTCACAATAACTTCTTTTATTTTTACACATTCAGCAATTAGGAAGTAAACCAAAACCTCAACAAATATTTAAACTTCCTCTATATACTATATTTAATGTAATATGAGGTGGGTTTGCTTTAAAGTGGAGGTGCTGGGTCTGGTCCACGGGGCGGTCGGGGTCTGCATTGCTTTGAACAACCAGTGTACACAATACACACACACACACACACACACACACACACAGTAGAAGTGCTTATGCTGCATTACTGAGCACACAGTGGGGTGTTACAATGTGGTAACACACAGACATAAATGCTTTTATGACTTTATCAGCACTTCAAAGTAAGTGCTGGTTAAACTTTAAACTATTTAAGTCACAAAGTCTGAGAAACACTAAAAGACTATGAATGAAAGAAGAAGTTTATTTTTGGATCACCGGCGGTTCAATGATGTACGAAGACTGTAAATGTAAAATAAAACAACAAAGCTCAGATTACACCTTCCTGCAGGTGAATCACACACCGATAACTCCCTCACAGCCGTTTAAGTGTGTGTATCTGCTGCATTCAATGTCCCCTCCTCACAGTGATTAATGAAGTTGGATTGAATAGAATTGCTTTTAAAAAGTCAGCCAGGTGTTGCTATGGAGAACAAGCCATCATACTTCAGTCTTATCTGTGAGTAAAGTGGTGCCGTGTGAGGTAAGGGAGAGTCACATCGGGGCAGGTGTGTCTCTCTCTCCACACACACACACACACACACACACACACACACACACACACTACCAGGAATCTGTTTTTTTCATACACCTGAACTGATAAAATTTCCGTTTTCAATTACATTACAACAATATAAAAGAGAGAAAAGCACATTGGAGACGCTGGATTGAGAGTGATTGGTGCTTTTGCTGGAGAAGATCGATAGACTAATTTATTAATCAACTAATAGTTTGAGCTCTAGTGAAAATAAACTCTCCTATAGCATTAAAACAGACAGTCAAAGACCCGCTGAGTGAACCCTGAACCCGCTTTAAAGGACGGCTGAGGGTCCCTATAGTAACAGCTCATCCTTCGTTACTCAGCAACATCAGCTTCGTGATAATAATCGATTATTAACCATCGGGCCTTTATTGCGGGTGAATCTCTGTAACATCAATAATCAATAATGTGTGAAGTCAAACTACAAGAATAAGAAGAATTCATCCGACTTTATGAGATAAACAGAGAAAAAGAACGCGGCTCCTGTTTCGTCCACAGTGAATCAGATCAATCGATAGGAGATATTATTGATTATAATCGCAGCTCCTGACGATCGGCTGCAGCCGCCGGGAGGTAAAGTTAAAAAAAAAAACACCTCCTCTCTTTTGAATGGAGCACAAAATGTCTCACCTGAGAGCCGTAAGAGAGGCAGCAGCGGTGCGATCCTGAGCGGGGGCGGCCGGTTCGGGTTGCGGGGGTGAGACAGGAGGGGTGAGACAGGAGCCGGTCTGGAGTGTGGGTGGTGGGGGGCTGCAGAGACTCCGGGTGCAGGTCTACAGACAGATGTGAGGATGTTAAAGTGAAGACGGATCAGACCTCCGCCGTCAGCTGACTGATCGCGGCTCCTGCTCAGCAACAAGTGGGACCTTCTCGGCTGCTGTCTCCCTGACTCATCGATCAGCTGTGTTTGACACACACACCCAGGCCTCCTATTGGCTGCCGCCCGGCCGATAAGCCCCGCCCATCTGCGCGGCACCGTCATATTCTGGAAACACAAACCACAGGACACACACCCTCTAACAAATTAGTTCCTCTCCCACTCTCTCACACACACACAGTTAATCAGAAAAAGGAAACTGTGACACAAATTTATATAAATAACAAAAAATATGTGTTAAAAATACAATTTGTGGTAAAGTTTAATGGTGGCACCTCTTCAATAAACTAAACTAGAGCCAATGCCAGCGGCTCTGCACAGTGCTTCAGGTGCAATGTTAACCATGTTCACCATAAGATAATATAAAATAAACCTTTATTAATCCCCCGTAGGAGAAATTCAAACTACACACAGCAGCACTGGGGAATATAGTGCAATAAAAAGAGAGTACAGTGTACATAGATAATAATACAACATATAAAACTAGAAATTAAAGATATATACTCTATATGCAATAGTGTGCAATTTAAACTGTACATGTGAAATTTAAGATAAATAATATAAGTTTGGTCTTCATTGTGTTGTTGTTATCTTACAGCTGTTTGTATCTACAGATAAATTATAAATCCTACTCGAGCCATGTTGAACCGCCTTATGTTTACAGTAGCCCAGAAGGGACAAACCAAACACAGGCTTTAGGTAGGGCCTTTTTCACTGTAGTTTGTCCTGCACGAGCCGTATTCAGTTGGTTGCAGCTGCCACTAAATCTTACACACTGGTCCTTTAATTACACACCAGTGTTAATGGGACTCCCCGGTACCGGTCCATACCGCAGTGGCCCGGGTCAGAGTCCAACATGTGACCCTCTGTCTCCCCTCACTATCAATTAAAAGGCAATCAAATCTCCCCCGACCATAAAAATCACGTTTAAAACTGAATTAATACTAAAATTTGAAAACTAAAACACTTTAATAAAGAAACTGTCGTCATCGCAGTGGTGGCGCAATAACATAAACATCACTCACTTTAATTATCTCTGCATTACATTCATCATTCCTTACAGTCTAACTTTACTTTTTACTGATATATCTAGTTTTTAGGGAGTTGTTTGTTCTCCCGTATTGTTTGTGGTATTGTTTCTGCACTGGTACCAAAATGGTGGCCTAGTTTCATGTTTGCACCAACATCTTTTCCTCTTTGACAATCAATAAACTATAAGCAATAAAACCTCTATCCTGTATTTATTAAGTGCCAGATTGAATGCACATCTTAAATTGGCCGCTAATGAAAAGAAAAACCTGAAAATATCCTTTATTTTCTGAGCTGGTGAGGTCTAAACACACACACACACACACACACACACACACACGGGGACCACAAACACAGCTGTCCTGTGGTCTATAATAGCTGTCATTGTTTGGAGGGGCCCACCCTGTAGGCTGACTGTTTACAGTAAAAGCTGAAGAGTTGCAGCCTGCAGAGTTGCAACCTGCTGCTTAGTTACTTTGACTGACGGGCGACTTGACGGAAGTGCTAAAAATACAACGGCGCTGACTCTGCCTGCTGCTGTAATACAGCAGTTTCTTCAGGGTTTCCACTGTTAGCTGGTCTACAGTATCATCAGACGGGCATGTGGGAGCTTGCAGGAAAGCAATGAGTCAAACCCGAGGGACGTTTTTCTCAATTTAGATCTCATTATCACAATATCTGACGCAGATCTGAGGCTCATCTATCACATATCCTCATCCAACAGTGTAAAGTTTGTTCATTAAGGCCTTCAGTTACTGATCTATAATCTATAATCTATATATTTTTAAAGGAAGGATGTTGGGTTTGCTTCAAGAACACAGTGTAATTATTTTATGAGCGATAAAGCAGCTCTTGTGTATCAGTTTGGGTTATTGTACAATGTCTGTACAAGGCAGAGAGATCAGTCTAGTCCACTGGTTCCCAGCCAGGGTGTCCCAACCCCCAGAAATGGATTTTTTTAGATATATGCATTATATCACTGCATTTCATTCATTTCTGTTAAGAAAACTAAATGAAATTGCTGTTTTTAAAGATTAAAGTTATTATTTAAGATATAAACTCACACACAGGGAGACGAAAACACGGCATTTCTCAAAAGACAAGCCTAATATGTAAATATGATTCTAAATACTAAAATAAAATACTAATACAGAGGAAGAAAGTGAAAAATTATCAGGTAAACTGATCTCTGATGTAATATTCACAGGAAATCATTTGCTCAAACTTCCTGCAGTTGCTGTGTTCACTATGTGAGTTAATTGTACAGTTTATATAGATAGTTAGGCCTATGTATTGAATATAATATAAAATATGTCACTTAAAGGGTTCCTGGTCTAATCTAACAGAATAATAAGTATTTCGTTGAATTATTGATACACAGATAGATTGTGAAGGATTAACAACACAAAGACATTCAGCAATCAGACAGAGAAACACAATTCTCAACATGATTTATGTCCACATGCAACTGTTCTGCTCCTCCGATTCACAATTCAGACAAACAAGAACATTTAGTGCCAGCGAGCGACGTGCGGCACATCAGGGAGGTGGGAGTGCCGGTGTCGTTGTGCAATACGAGGTAATATTTAACACTACTATGCTAAATGTATTCATGTTGACACTCTGCTACCAGGATAATATCCAACGCTCACTGTATATATGTTAACATTCACAGCTGAAAGGCCACCATACAGAGAATAAACCCTTCTGATTTACAACATGGCCTTCCCTCTGGCTCAGATTAAAGATGCATTAAAGCTGCCACAGACGACATAAACACACATGGACGCTGTGACGTCACCCACAAGTGTCTGGAGAACCGGTGTGGAGCTCAGTGTGGTCGAGCTCGGCCTGTTGCCATCTCCTCCTGGTCGATCCAAACACGAGCAGAGACGTGGAGCGTGGGTGGAGCTGAGGCGGCTGAAAGTAGTCTGGTTACTGAAACCCTACGACGGCACACACCTGACCAGACCAGAGCGACCACGCCCCGTAAAATAATACAGAACTTTAAGCCTTGATGTAATTGTAATGAGTGGGTTGTCATCAGTGGGGAATTTAACAATGGAGACCAAAACTATTTGTTTGTATCAGGCTGTAAACATTGTTGGGACTCATGGAGACACTTGCTACTTCTTGTGTCCCTTTCTCCAATAAATACATTTATTTCTGAAGAGTCTATTAGAACTGTACGACCATGTCTTACTTCTACACCTCTTCTGTACAAATGACGGGTCTGTAGAGAACAACATATCAAACACAGAACAGAAAACAGACGCCATGGTTGACTTTTACAAAATCTGTATTTGCAAAACAAACAAAAAAAAAAAAAGAAGTAAAATTTGCAAAGTGAAGTCTATGTTTTTTTTTTACAATACCAGTGAAGTTTACAAAAACAAGATGGTGCAGGAACAGTTGCTGGAATCCGATGTTTGACAAAAACATGTCAATACTGCAACAGATCAACAAAAAAAAAAAAATCAGCTTTTACACAAGAGGCGAGTCGATGAGAGAAAGAATTCATCTGTTTCTTTTTGTCACATATTTTATAGAGTAGGCTGGTTGGTCAGTAGTGGTTCACTCAGTCCTGAAAGGGTTGGGGGTTTTTTTTCCAAGAAACAAGACTACTCAGTTAACAGGACAATCCCCAAAACATGCCCCTAAGCAAGGCACTAAACCCTGAACAGCAGCACCGGAGCTGCTCATTGGCGACTAATAAGAGAAATCAACAGAAATCTTTTGGAAGCTCTGCGGTGTGAAGCAGGGAGGTACTGAACAGAAACGAATCCCAGCCGTCCTTGCTTCTGGAAAAATCCCTTTGGACCGAACCTCCCTTCGGACAAAACTCAACTGAGGTGAGAAGAGCGCCGACTTTGAGGCACTCAGTAACCACGTTTGTTAGATAAAAAGTCACCCTGAAAAAACCCTCAATCTGAAAGTGGTCTCAGCAATTTGGAAACTTGTCAGGAATGTTAATGAGAGCTGTAATTTTTTAACGCATCAACCAAAAGACGCAAACAGCACTTGGCACAAAAACGACATCAAAGTTACTTAAAAGACTTTTTAAGGTGAGAAGAGACGAGTGACGGAAGTCAACTTTCATCCTCTCCAACAGTTGTAGTGTCAAGTCAGACTCATTATCCGTTGAGTAGTGATTGTAAATGTTAAGGCATGAACTCATGAATATGCATACAAACATACCCTCGCAGAACTCCCATGCACACACACACACACACAACAGTAGATTCAATAACAATGTAGTTACAGTCTACCTAATAACATCAATCCACAGGTAGAGTGAACAGATTTTGGATTTTCACATTGTAAATCAAAAGGAAAACTGATAAAAGTTGGGATGAGGCTCAAGATAAACAACATTAGAGTCTGTAATACCATAGAGAGTGTGTTTGTTTACAGGTAGGATGAGGGACAACAGAGTATTCAGAGCCACTATTAGGAAAATAAATCATCCAAGAGTTCATTTTAAGATAAAGTCTGAATATTCAGAGACTAAAGTTGACAATTTATGGGAAATAAAACTATTTACAGGAAATATCACCAATAAACACCTTCTTATCGCAGGTTTTAGGATATTCAAATGAAACAAGTTCGGGGAAATGATGTATGAGTCAACAAACAGACACAGCAGGCAAAGTCCAAACACAAGTAAAGACTGTAGTTTGTAGTTTAGACTTTCAGGAAATGCTAAAACATGTACGTAATCCAATGAATTTAATCATAACGACACTTTGATCTCAAAGCAGCCTACTTTTACTCCGTTGGGACTTACTTTTTTCTCATAATATTACTGATTCCCAGAATCTCAGATTATTATCTTTTCCTATCACTGGCCCCAATATTATCAAATGTATAAATCCCATTAGCCAGCCACCCAAGGGCCTCTCAAACAGTAACAGCAAGAAACACATTTACCAGCATTTAGCAGGAGGCAGGTCCTAACCTTCATTATAAAGTCTATTTGTAGTCAACAGCTGTTTTATTTAAAGCATAGTAAGTGATGAACCAAAATGGATTTAAAAGAAATGGGATATTCAAATATGAGATTCTGAAGAAAAACACTCTCAAAATAGAAAGTGTCTCATCCACTCGAACTACAGCTGATTGTCATTCAGTCTATTGTTTCTTTCAGCTCAGCCATCGTGTCTCTGATTATAAACTATAAACATGAAACATGACAACACGTTTCGTAACCTGTGAGTCATTATTGGCTTGTCCCACTTTTGACCAGACCCACAAAACTGACACAGCCTAAGATTTACTGTCTGCGAGCTGCCAAGGAGACAAAGTACAAAACGCCTACCAGAAATGTCTTCTGAGTGAATGTTTTGTGTCCGGGACAAAGATTACAATTAACCTACGTTTGAGCCTGCAGTCAAAACAAACTAGTCCTGAAGCTCCACCAGCCCGGGCACGTAAACACGATGATACACGTTTCTAAGAAAAGAAAACTAAATTTTCTCTGCTCACACCGATTCTAAAACAGCATGCAGGAAATGTTAATTGTGTTATATGAGTCCACTGAGTCCAGAGACAACACAGTTCACCTACTTGAAAACATGACTACAGCATGAAGTTACAGACACTGATGCCTGGAAGGAAGTATTTCTACTGTTTACAGTGCAGCCCTAATGGAGCCAGCATCACCTCAGTAACCGCAATGACAAACATCCTGGTGGATAATGCTGCTTTATGCGGTAGTTAGTGATCTTCCAAGAAAAGCAGCTATGCAGTGTTAATACACAGGATAACAGTGAGTTTCATTCACTGCTCACATCTTTCTCTTTAAACCGTAGCTCGCTGTGCTTTGTAGAAATTATCAACATTGTTATTATTATATTATTATCAACAAAACAAACAGCTTGGAATAAAAGCTACTTCCTCTGTGCTGCTACTCTTCGTAAAAAAAAGGCCTCAGTCGTTGATTGTTCACTGTATCAGGAGAGCTGGAGTACAGTGCACCTACAGCGGCAGTATAGGATTAGTAGCAGTATATTTATATTAATATACTGTATATGTATGTAGAAAAGTACATAAGAGAACAGCAAGTGTGCTTCACCATCCAAAATTCCTCAAAGTGTGAGAAAATGTTTCTCTGCGTTCACTCTCAGAGCACGACATTAGTGGGAAGTATTCTGGGTTCAGTATTTAAAACCAGTTGTGAAAAAGGCTCCGTGAATGAGCTCTCGTCTAATGAGAGGAGGCTCTCTGCAGCAGCTGAACTGGAAGACATAGAAGGAATGGAAACAGCAGCCTTGGCATAGAGAGGGGGAATGTGTCTGCAGGCCATGTTTATGTGCATCTCTGTGTCGTGTTACCTTGAGAGGCATGAATTAGTAACGGCCTTATCTTTAATTTCATCTTCTATATAAATGACTGTTCATCGCTAGAGAAACAGTGTGAAACCACGGCTGTCGGCTGATAAAAGACGCCTCCGATTCCAGCTCGAGGAACATCAGGGCAGAAGTGGGTGGATAATAACAAGACCTGGGTCAAACTGAACTGTAATTAATTCTCCATGGTTTCATTCAGCCTGCTGGGTGATGTCTGGCGGGGGGGACAATCAGAGGAGTTTATTTTATCATTATTTTTAAATGACTGATCTGTGTTGATGTGAAAAAGCCTCATATACTTTGTACTTTGTTATTAACTTTTATCATGAAAGCTGTTTCCAGTAAATCAACAAAATCTCTAAAAAAAAATACACATTTTCATGTTTAAGTTTTTACACGGCTGATGATTATTTGGGATTATTTTCTATTAGAAAATTAACTGAGGCATTTATTCTCCCTCAGTGACATCCAGAACAAGTTGACGCAGGTCTCATACATTTTTTTTTAGCTCATGCATGCATGTGTATATTATTAGCTGCTGTTCTTCACTAAAGTGTTTCCTGCTTTCTAAGTACTTCTGTTATCTTTCGGTCTAATGGGCCACTTTCACAGAACACACATGAATTCAGACATTCACACCTTAGGAGCTTAACAGATGCAATTCCTTGGAGATATTAATCCAAACAAAGCAGCTTTTCTTGCTGATCTGTCACACTCCTTTCTGCGTGTGATTTTGAGTAGGGTTTTTTTCTTTGTCGCTAATAAATAAGGTTTTCACCAGATGACAAAGACTACTGTTTGCTAATGTCACACGTCCCACACGATGAGGTGGATGCAGGAGCGCTGTGATGCATTAACTAGGCAATCAAACATTAATTGATTCAACATGATACGAACACTCCTGCACATCAGCAGCAGCTGCTGTGTTGATGACGTTGTAAGGAAGCGGACATTTACCACAGACTAAAAACAACTCGCTGGTTGCCTAAAAAATAGCTCATGTTCATTTTCTACCATAAATCAGCCGACATAGTTAACATAGTTAAAAAGAGGGTGGGGGGAAAGCCAACTCTTCTAAAGAGAAAAAGAATAAATGCTTCAACAGGGGTAGGATCTATTATACCCATTACACTTTAAAAGGGGGTGTATTCTTCATTTCTCTCTGCTTTTAATGCTTCTGTAAAACCTTTCCTGCTCCGAGTGGCATCTTGACCACCGAGGTTTAAAGTCCAAAAGTTCTACTTGATCGGGTCTAAAAAAAGAAACCAAAATAAAATGTCTAGTGTCTATTTATCTTCTTGCTGGAATCAACCTGGGAGTGCAGCTTCTATCTCTCCTCGACAGTGCTTCAAAAATCATCACATCTCTCTCTAAAATAAACCAGGAAATCATAATAATAAAACAATCACAAAATAGAGATAGTAAAACATCAAAGCTGATATATATCTCTCTATGTTCATTGTACTTACACAGGAAAATAAAGAGGAAATAAGAGAAAAATTCATCTGTTAAAAAAAACACAACTCCAGTGTTTACCTTTCGACGTAGTGTATGTTTGCTTGTTTACAACAGGAAGCTAGTATTTATTTGGCTACAAAATAAGAGTCCCAAAAAGAGATTTCCTCCCTCAGTAGTAAGTTCTGGGCGTGGCGAGGATCCGTCCGTGAGAGAAGTCCTTGTAGTGAAAAAGTTTGGCTTCCAGATAGTGAGATAAAATGTCTCTCTCTCTCTCTCTCTCTCTCTCTCTCTCTAAAATCAGCCAGTGGGCTCACGGCTCCTTCAAAGCATCTGATTAGTGTGCAAAACCCCACCTTCACACTTGAAATCCAGGTAAGGTCCAAATGGAAAAATAAAAACAGCCTCAGTCCGTAATCTTTCCATGTCAGGACCTGATCAGTTAAAACAAAAATGTTTACAAGAAATGGGCTAAAAAAAAACACTCAACAGGCAAGTTGTGGCTTCTCCGCTCTTCTCTCTCCGCAAGATAGAGCTCACACACGTATGAGCCATAAAACACTGTCGTCAACAGTGTTGGCAACATATGCTTACACACATACACGCACACACACACACACACGCGCACACACACACACACACACACACACACACACACACACACACACACACACACACACACACACACACACACACACACACACCGCCTTATTGCCTCTTATTGAGGGAGTACACTCCCCACAGTTCAGTGATTCACATAAGAAAAATAGAATACTCCTGCACACCCACTTTACACTTTGCAGCTCACAGCACTTTCCCGAGAGTTTTCAGCCCTCTCGTCTGTGACCTCTGACCTCTGTGGGCCCTTCCTCTGTGTGCAGGAGTATTCTGTTCCATCTGAACCTGCACGCGCTGCCCGCCCTCCAGTGTCTGGAGGTCTCAGTGTCACATAGTGTCTCATCTCATCCTGTTCTGCCTCATCAGAGGGACGATGCAGGACGGTGGACCTGCCTTCGTCAGGAAGGGGTGCTTGAGGAGCTCGCTGGCTGTGGCCCTCTGAGCCGGGTCTCGCACCAACATCCTGTCCAGGAAGCCCTTGAGCAGAGGGGAGACCTGGGAGAAGGAGAGAAATCATCAGAGTCAGTCAGGTGTTAATAAAGGGGTAATAAGTGTTTATTGCTCTATGGCACAAAATGGGGAAATGACAGTGATGTTAATCAATCAAACCACATGAACACAGTCACCCAGTTGGTTGTGAAATCAGTTAACAGTTTAATTTGAGGTTCAAAAGTGATAGTTGAAGTGTAGTTTAAGTGAATTTATTTCATAAGTAATGTCCCCTGATGTCTACATCGACTCAATATTGAGACCTGTTCAGTGATATGTGACACTGCAGACTAAAAATAACCTTTTCTAGTCAGAGAATTTGGACTGAAGGCTCTGTAACAGAAACAGAAACACAGACTTTACTGACTGTATCCGTTTGTTGTCCAGCTGCAGAAACAAACGTGTAAATATTTATTTTCGCATCAGACTTTAAAATCAAGAAATGGGATCATTAATAACAATCATATTTTCTGTCTTTCAAAATTGACTTCCCTTTCTGTTTGTATTGCAACTCTCCTTTAAACTGCCTTTTAGGCAGAGTTGGAAGGTTTACTTTAAAAATGTAATGTGATATAATGAATTACCTGTTAATAAATGCAGTCAGTAACCTAATCCAGTTATCACAATGTAATGTATCCACTGCACATGTGCATGGTAGTACATTGTTACTTATTCAAAAATGTATTTTTAAATTGTAATCCTTTTTATAATCCCTATTCTATTTTATAGTTTTTTGTGTGATAACTCTATTGGATGTAATCTGTTACTCCCCAAGCCCGATTTCAAGACACAAACTTCACACAAACAACCTTCACTGTCAGTTGCTTAATTATTGGACAGCGAACACACACAAGTAACTGATTACTCAACACTTCTTTAAAGTAGTTACTCTTTTCAACCCTTAAGGCTCCTGAATAACTGCTGCAATAATGAAAACGTTGTAATCAAACTCTTTCCTCACTGCCAGCGTTGTTACAAACAAGACCAACTGCAGGCTGTCAGAGGATTAATGTCAGGGATGTCTCAATGTCTCATTTTTTAACCGATAGGTATCAGTTATGTTGAACTTTATTGACCCGACAAGATCTTTTGGTTTTTTTTTACATCAACACACAGCTGTTTTTACTCAGGAAACTGTCATGCACCGCACAGCCCAAAGTGAAACTGGGCTGCCCCTGCTCGGAGGACAGATTCAATGCGTCACTGCAAGTACAGCAAAGGTCCCACGAACAAAAAGCCGATAAGAGTAATTAATTAATGTAATTCACGCAAAAGAAGTAAAGACAACGGTAATAACCGCTCAATAGAATACAGACAGTTCATTCGGGTAACTCAGGTAAAAAGCTGCACCGAAGCACCGAACACTGGAGAGAAAAACTCCCTCCAGACTACGACGAGGCAAAAAGATAACAGTTTTGTTTTCGTAATGCAATGCAGAGCTCTTCAATTTGTTTTGCCTTGGATTGATTGTAATAACCTGAATGTACTTTAAGTGTGCACTGCGCACTGTATTATCTAAAAAAAACTTATTGGATCGGGACTCTGTATCGGCAGATAATCAATATTAAACAATATTAACAATATATCTGATTGTGTTGTTTAAGGGAAACAACAAAGAATCCAGATGTGTGTTTGATGGTATAATGACATCTGATGAATGATGTCTTTGTACCTTGTGCAGGTTCTTCAGTTTGGGAGGCAGGTTGTCTCGAATCATTTTCATGGCTTTGAGTGGCGGCTCATTGAAGTACGGCGGCTCCCCATCAACCATCTCTATGACCATGATACCCAGAGACCAGATATCCACCTGGACACAGTGAGAAGAGACGGTCAACTTTAGATGCTCAAATAACAGTAAAATCTGCAGGGAAACAGCGTGAGTATTACCTCTGGTCCATAAGGCAGTCTGGATATGAGCTCTGGTGCCATCCAGTACGGTGTTCCAACCAGAGACTTCCTTCTCTGCACTTCCTTAGACACCTGAGCACAGAAGCCGAAGTCTGACAGCTTCACCTGGAGACAAAATGAGCCGTGGAGGAAAAAGAAGAAGTACATGGATGTCGAGATTCATTGTCACAGAAGGGACCCACCATAGTGATCATGAGTATGTGTGTGAAGTTGAAGAAATACAATAACTCCATGCATCTACATCCTTTATACATTTTACTGCTTGTCAAAGCAGAAAGTGTCCCTGAAACTGTTAGGAGGGCTAAAGAAGAAAGTCTGAAGGACTGTCTGGCACTGAGGGGAAGGCAATCTGACTCACAGTGCATATTATATTATATTATTCTATATTATACATTCTTTCAGTATAGTACATTTCCATTGTGATTATGAACAGATGACGCAAAGCTCAATAAAGTTTCAGCTGCATAAAAATATTCAATTTGATTATCTGAGGCACGGCTTCCTTCTCATGCATCAACGGCCGAGTGGACCAGTCAGTCGCTGCCTTCTTTCTGAGAATGTCTGTGCATGGTTGGGTATCTAGACAGAGAACCCGCCTTTGATGTTGCCCACAAGGCCGACTGCTACCCTCAGATGGCTCGGAAAGAGAAATGAAACGAACTAGCTCTGAGAAGTGGTGCACACTTGTATGAAGGGTCAAATACACAGACAGCTCTAACATTTGATGGCCGCCACTGATGACCAGAGCTTCAGAAACAACATTTTTACCTACAAAGCTGAGAGTAAGTTCAAGTCAACCAGAACAGAGATTGACTGTCTCTTGACCTACTTTTTTAAGAAGTGAGATTCTCACAGATATCCCCCACAGGTGCATTCAGACAACCCCCCCCCCACTGACGAGAAACACTTCAGGCTTGGTTGAGTCTGCTTCCCCATACCAAATCACAAGCAACAACTCAAACCAAACCCTGTGTGAATGTGTGACCCGAGATCTGAGGTCTTCCTGAACACTACTGATAAAAATAGTCAGTTATGAGGATAAAAAGAAAACCCCACTGCTCTTATATTACTAGTGTTAAGATATTTAAACCCTTTGGTGCAGAGAGATAACGGCACACATTATTCTTTCATTCAGTTTTAAATGATTGACACCGATCACACGCACAACTCCTCTGAGAAGCTCATTAGCAGGAGTATGAGCAACATGAAGCAGTTTCCCCCGTCGGTGCTTTTTCTGCCTCACAGAGCAACAACAGTGTAGACGAAGCACTTAGGTGTCACTGTAGGAACCTGCCTGGCCATGCATACTGCTGGAGGCCGAGGCGATGGGTGAAACCACAACTCATAAAAGACATCAAAACCACAAACATTCCTCAGCTGTCATCAAGGACGCTGTGGTTTACACGTTAGCTCATCTTAGCATCGCATGTATGACTTGCACATATAGTTTATGATGCTACAACAAACTCGGCAAAAAAAACTGAGTTGAGTTAACAAACGTTGAGTTAATTAAGACCTAACTTCATCAGAAACCATTTAGAATATGAATAATGTGAATTAATCAGTGGAAGACAAACTCCTGCTATGAATTAATGGTGTAGTTTATGACTTTCAGACTGGATGCCGCACAGAGCACCAGGACCTTGGACCATAACAAATGTGCGAGCGTTACACAAATTCTACCTCCCAGTTCATAAAATGCACATCATTCAAATTTGCTGGTCAGAAAAAACCCTTAATACACTGAGGTAGATGCAAAAATAGCCGTGAAACAGACTGCATGTAGATTAGTAGATAGAGTTGATAGAGAAGCAATGCTTGAGAGATGGAGTGAGACATCATTCTCTGCTCTGGATGTCATTAATATATATATAGAGATAGAGAGTTGTTTGCTGCTGGGTAACAACAGTCGGTACTTAACAAATAACAGATGTAAAGGCCAGAATTAGATATCACATCTGTGATCTCAACCTGCACATGCTGAATGACTGAATGTGGATGTGGTGCACTGGGCTGAAAATGACTCATTTCAAACCCTTAAATTCACCCAATCATTCAAAAAATGTGACAAACACCAAAGCACTGACGACATTTAGCAGGAGGCTTGCCTTAGCTTATTATCCTTGTCCAAAATGCATCGTTATAGTGCTGCTGAAACCTCACCTCAGCACAATGACACATTATGCATTCTGCACAGAGAACCAGTAACAGCACCAGACTATGTAATGTACTTGATGCTAGCTGTGACACACCAGAAGATCGTCCTAGTTTTGCTATGCAACCTTGTTAGTTTCATTTGCTGTAAAAAGCAGAAACTTGGTTGTCAACAGGCAGGAAGTGATTTGGCATCTACCCTCCCTCTACAGTAGTGGTTAACAGAAGCCTTTAGTTCCCTTTTCCAAATTCCTTTTATTCTTGTATAATTGGTGAAGTTCTCTCTGGCTGAGGTGCAGTGCTGAGTTTGTGCATCCTGTGAGACAAACTCTGAAGATGAGTGACCAAAGAGCACCTCTCTGTCCATTAAATGCACCCTTGAAGCCTTTTTCACAGCAGACATTTTGACAAGTCATTGCCAGAAAAGCACAAGTGTTTCCAATAACATTGATGGTTGCTGCATTCAATTTAAATGTGCTGTCACAGGTCTTTAGTATTGTGCAGACTGGACCATTTCAATGGAGCAGATCAATGATTTATTTTATTAGAGACACCAGTGTTTGTCCTGCTACGAGTTGTTCAAATGCTTCCCGTTCTGGTTTTATGCCGAGGAAAAGTGCTGCCTCAGCCACAGTGTTGTGGTTTGACAAAGCAGATGTGCAGTGCTAATAATTTAGAAAGTGAAATATATTTAGGGACCTATTGTATTTGCTAGAATTCTTACCTATTATTATTTTTAGCGCCTTTGACTGCGTTTTCACCCCCCTGGACATCTACGAAAACTCAATTTTATTTGTCAGGCCTGGTGAAAAATGTGATATTCTATGCGTCGCTTTCGGGTCGGCCACTAGGTGGCGCTACTATTGAGAAAAGTATTTTGACCTTTTTGGTTACTTAATAACTCCCACATCGTTTGTCGGACATTCAAAAACCTTATATCCACGAGTTCGGTGAATGGAGCTGAATCTCCCCATATAGGCCACGCCCACTTCTGCCTTTAATTTGTTTTTGCTAGAGCGCGAAAAGTCCATAAACTCCTTTTTTGTGTTCCTCCTATGTGCTTTGTCCGATTCGTACGTAATTTTTCACGTAGCATCTGGGGACCGCCCTGGCAAAAAAAGTAATTTGAACATTTCAAAATAGGAAGTGGACCATTTCTCCACATTGGTATGTCCGATTGACACCAAGCTTGGGTCCATAGTTCCCCATGTCGTCCTTAGACATCATGCACAATTTCAGGACATCGCCACAAGGTGGCGCTCTTTAAAATGAAGAGGTTTATATCTCTGCATCGGCACATGTGATTTCAAAGAAACTTGGTACGATGATTGCCCATGGCTCCCTGAGGCTCGCTAATAAATGAATCAACAATCTCCCCACTAGGTGGCGCTCTGGTGGCATGGTAGATCACTGTGCGGAGACTGTAATAGTTATGAATATGAAATTCACAGGGCACATGTAGACTAGTGCCTGTAGCTCACATACCAAAAATCATGTTCGTCGTGTTTGTAGCGCCCCCTACAGGATTTTTAAAAAAGCAGCCCAGACGCCACGTTTCACCGATATGTATGAAACTCGGTAGGCACGTGAAACATGCTGAGACGTACAAAAAAGCCTCTTGGACCCATACCCCCAAACCCCATGGGAAGTCGGCTATTTTGATAGTCATTTTGACTTTCGGCAAACCTTTCGCCTTGTATTTGAACAAACTCCTCCGAGGCAATTCATCGGATCTACTTCAAAATTGGTCAGTACAGTCAAAACATGGTGCTGATTAAAAGTTGTGCTATTTGTGACTGTACATCAAACCGCGTGCCAGTGACGACTTGTCGAATTCAGCCGATTCGCCATAAATCAATACTCATAACTTCAGTGTGCAATGTCCAATCTCCAATAAACTTCATATTATGTAACAGTCTCGACCTCAACACGTCCTCATAACTTCAGTGTACGTGGTCCAATCTCAATGAAACATCACGTGTTTGATAAGAGTCCCGCTTTGAACACGTCTACATGACAACATTCAGACATTGATAACGCCATCAACTGGCAACAGAAAGTAAGCACTGCGTGGCGATTCTGAGCAGATTTACGTGAAATTTTCATGTTGTGGTCCGCACGTGTAACGACGGCACGTGACGCAGCTGCAGCACGCCCCGAGTTGCGTGGAGTGCAAGGTCACGCCCAACGCTGCTTGCAGCTTTAATATTAATTAATTTCTGTGAAGCTATACTCTTCTCTTCTTTTCGGTGACTGGTGAGGTTATTTTTGTCACTTCTTAATTTCTTTTATAAACTGCGTTTCCTGCTTAGAAAGCACAAAGATAAAGCTGTTTTATCCGGTGTTATTAAAAAAAAACAACAAGCAGTGTGAGGTTACATACCCGGCCGTCATGAGTGAGGAGGATGGAGTCACTCTTGATGTCTCTGTGGATCACACCCTGTGTGTGGAGGACAGACAAGGCCTTCAGGACAGACAAACACACTGTAGCAATCTGCTCCTCGTTCATCCTGGAGAGGGAAGGAGACACCAGAGATAACATGTCAGTTTTCACCACCTGTTTCTTTCTAGATCCCTCTACAGTCCGAGGTGACCATTTCTGAAGCCATATTGATGATGTGTAGCAGTCACAAATACAACCTTTTTAACATTGTGCCTGTGTTTGGCAGTTTAGAGAGATACAGTCAAGCAAAAAGGGCTCAAGAAATCAGGAAAACATAAACATTTCAATCTGACAAAGGACATGGTGATTTGTCTCTCTGTGCAGAATAAATTAGGAAACACTGCCCTCTTATGGAAGAAAACAGTTTTCATTACAAATAAAAAAAGCCCTAAATCACATGAAAATATTGATTACATGGAATACAATATCTTTTATCCACCGACAGTGGTAAAAAAAAAAAAAAAAAAGGTTGGGAGATGCTACATAAATTCTCCCTCACCTGGTGTGTGTCACAATGTCAGTGAGAGCTCCTCCCTCCAGGAACTCCATGACGACCCAGAGCTCGTCTCCCACCAGGTAGCTGTTGTACATCTCCACCACGTTCTCATGGTGATAGTCCCGCATGATTACCACCTTCAGTTACCACGGAAACAGATGGGACACACAGACAGGGGTATAGTTAGTTTACTCATTAGATTTTAAAAAGACGGCAGGTTTATGTTGCATCGATCAACAACCATTAACACTGAAGCTCTGCCTGATTGTTCATTAGCTGATTCAAGTGTAAAGTTACAGTAAAGTTACAGTCAGACGCTCATGTGAGTGTGAGTCTTGTTATTCAATGATTTTATGTCTAAATGCTGTATGAGCTGAGGGTGAAACAGCTACCATACCTTGTTTTGTGTGGAAGTTTGGGATCTACTTTTTAGTTTGAATTTAATATTTATAAAAACAAGAGGAAGAACATTGTTCTGTTTTTTTTTTTTTTGTTTTTTTTTTAAAAGGCACTATATTCATCTCGTTAGACAATGTATCACAGTAAATACTCAAATGTTCTGCCATAAAGTCGACTTTTAGGGGTGTTAATTGTATGTTTTAACATTGAGGTCATAGTTAGTGATAGTGTTGTACTGAACTGCAATAAGGAAGACAAAAACATTGGTCCAGTACAACAGCACCTTTAACTGTAACCTCAATTTCTGTGATCCAAAAGTTGAATATACAAATTTCAAAACAAGCTGAACAAAACTGGACATTATAAACTTTGTAAAGGTAAATGATGGTAGAGCTGTTGTATACCTAATAAAGTGGCCACTAATTGTATTAAAATGTGGGATAAAACTCTTTTACAGTGGTTCTAACCAAAATATCACAGAAAACAGAACTTAAGACTTTTAATTACATAAAATTATTAATTATTTGTGACAAGACATACATAAAGTAATACCAAGGAAGATAAAACATCTTGTGTTGTATTAGCTCTTATAGTGTGTTTGGAAATGAATCACAGCGTCTACCACACTGTATTCACTCCATCGTGAACTCTTACCTCGTTGAAGAGGAGTTCTCTGCGCTGTTGTTTCCTCAGGTCCATCTTCTTCACAGCGACCAGTTTCCCTGTGGTCTTCACTGTGGCGATACACACGATGCCCGTGGACCCTTCCCCTATCTTAATGTAGTGGTCCAGGTAGGTACGCGGATCACCAGGATCTACCACCATCTGTAGCGCCGCTCTGAACTGCTCATGGGAAACCCTCTGGGGCTCCCTCTGCGGAGAGCGGCCCTGAGATGGAGCACTTGATGCTGGGGGCCCAGAGGGCACAGGAGGTCGCGGGGCTGGAACATTGGGGTGAGGGGTGTGTGGGTTCTGGGTGGCCTCAGAGGTCAGGCTTGGGTGGGAAGTGTGATGAGGGTGAGGGTGGCTTACAGGGGGCTTGGAGCCGGAGGACCCTCGGGCGGAGCCGCCGGAGGGGCCATTTTGAGGAGAGGATTCATGGTGTCGACCCGGCTTTAAGAAACAGAGAGGAGAGCGTCATCACAAACACAACATACACCAAGTATAAAGTTTAAATAGTAGGTGGTGGCGATATGGATTTAATCATCTATCACTAAATATGTATTTCTATTTCACAATATCAATATATATTATTATATAGTGCTAATAATGGAAATGAGTTTATTGGCCAAAATTAATGTTTTTGTCTTTTCTAGAAAATAATATTCCTGGTAAAACAAGGTGGGTATCACAAAGATACAGAAAACATTTTAAAATCCAATAATGCCATAAAGCAGTCCTGTTCATTGATTTGTAAAATTGCCTGCGAGGTGTACAGGCAAAACAAAAAAAGGGGACATATTCTGTAGTATGAATGTGATGGGAAAATCACTGATGAAAACCCTGAACTTGAACAGCATAGAGACACGCAATCATCACTAACAGCTTTCAGGAGCGAAAAACCAGGACAGAAGCGGATAAATCTGACCCAAAGAACAAAGAGCAAGGTGATAAGAGCTATCATTCATCAGCCAGTGGCTCAATTTGCACCTGTCTGCTGTTTTCTCTCAGTCAATAGCTTCCCTCAGGGCTGCTGTTTCTCCTTGTACCTGTCCTGGCTGGAAACAGCAGCCTTTCTTCCTGTCTGTCTTTGTGTTCATGCCGTCCCGTCCCTACCTGTCCTGTGGGGCTGCGTCCGCCCTCACTGTCTGTCCTTGGGTAGGTGTTAAATGGCCGTGTTGTCTGCTGGGCAGTCTTCATCACCCCCTCCGTTACTGGCAGGTTTGGGGTGCGGATGTTGGGCCCAGAGAGAGGCCTCTTGTCCCTGGGAGACTGAGGGCTGCCATCCCGTGGCACGTAGCTAGACTTTGGCCTGTGGTCACTGGGTTGATCTCTGTGAACGACCTGCTCCTGAAGAGAAGCAGAGTTTAGGTGAGAGATGAGAGAGATTACTGGGAAGTATGCAAGCCCTTCCTAGATTCCCTTTCTTTGTTATTAGCGACGTGAGGAGGTAAATACACACAAGGATAAGACTGCAGGAAAGAGAGCCCTGTGAGTCCTACGACTTTACTCTTAGTAAGTATGAAGATGAGGGGCTGGGTCCAGGGTTCAGCTTCAGTCCCTACCTGGTCCCGGTCCCGATGCGCTCTGTCTCTGTGAGGGGGAGGAGGGGGGCCGGAGCCTGGCCTGTCCCTGTGGGCCCGGCTTGGCTCTTGGCCCCGGGGCTGCTGCTGGGGTCGACCCTGGACTCCGTCGTCCAACTGAGGAAGACGGACTGCACGCTGACCCTGGCGGGGATCTCCTTCACTATGGTGGTCTGGTCTGGGTCTGTCTCTGAGAAGCAGAGTGATCCAAAGGTCAGCACAGATACTTGTGGTGCAACAGCTCATTGGTTTATATTGACAAAATCTCTGCTTTGTTCCTGTGTGTAAAATTATGATGATACAAGATCTGTGCAACATGCTGCTGCTGAAGAAACAAGCAGACAGCAAATACACAATTATCAAGTCCTTCAAATCTTATTTTAATTAAGAACCTGTGCTTTTAATCCCCCTGGAGGTGCAGTTCAACTCCTTACCTGTCTTGTCTGTCTGAGTGAGAGTAGTGTCTGTGGTGAGGATCTCCGTTCTCCTGCCCTCCTCCTCCTGAAGAGGTAGAGTCCTTGCGGGGCTGGGTGGGAGGGCTGCCTCGTCGCAGGGAGTTGGAGCGAGTCACAGACATGGTGTCAAACTCATCCAGCAGCCACGTCAGAGAGCCGTCCACTCCGAGTTTGCTGCCACGTACAATAGTCTGGAGATTTTGAGAAATAATATAAAAAATAGCGGACGACAGGATGAGGGAAAAGTTGGATTTTATGCATATGATAGTGTTCTATATGAATTATGTTCATCCTACCTTGCGTGGCTCTACAGTAGTGATGACAGTCACATCGATGAACGGTTTGGGCCTTTTGGCTGTGTCTTCGATGAGCGACTGCCATTGCCGCGGCAACCCGACAAACTTCTGCTCCTGCTCGTCAAAGTCTGTATGTACGCGGTGCTCAAAGTTAGACGGAGCGGAGATCTGGATACGAGACTTCTTCTTTTTGGTGAACATGATGGCGGCTGAGGCAGCTGCAGCCGAGCATCAGACCTGCAGGGAGGAAGCAGGAAAGAGAGGAGAGTTAGCAGGAAGGACTAAGGAAAATATTCAAATGTACAAACTTACCAGCAGTGTATGTAAAACAAAGTACACGTGCATACAGGGAAGCATAGACAGCAAACTTTGGAAAACACCACAGTACTGTCTTTTTTAAATATCCACTGACATACACTGTGTAAAAATACACATTGTCGACATTTCAAAAACTTGATCAGCATTTACAGAAGCTAAGAAACCAGTATTGGGTGTTATTGAGAGTTAAACCCAATATATATAATTCACTGACAGACAGCTTATAAAACAATGACATTACAATATCTGCAAACCTCAAATCATCCCAATAAAAACGCTTTGTATGAGTTTGTAGTTCAGCCTATAAATGACCACCCAACTGGCTTATTTCGGCCCATTGAGCATTCAGCAGCGTACCGGCATTAAACAGTTGTGACCTTTAGCTGAAGGTCATCAGCAGGCTGAACAATGGGCTCACTGCTAGTCTCCCATTACTAATGACAGGACAATGCAGAGTCTCCTAATGGACATAACAACACAACCAGCATTTTGACAGATTAAAACCGAGGGCGAGCTACTGTAATTCACATGCAACACAGTCAATAAACACATGCAGACCACCTGTAGTAGACTGTCCAGTTGATGCATATTAATAAGCTATTGTCTAATAATATTACAAGCAAGGCCTCCTTGTCTCCTTGCTGTATCACTACAAGCCGAATGTCACAGCAGCTGAGTGTCCAAAGTTTCTTTGGAAAGCCCAAAAACAGTAATATGGTTGATAAACAAGTTGAAAAAAGAGTGACTGATGCGATGAAGAATGAAGAACAAACAATATGGGTAACGTTTATCAGCAAGCAGCATGTTTCTGGGGAAGCAAGTGGAAGCAAGGAGGTCAAAATCATTCATCCGCTTTGAGGGTGCTGACATGAAAAGCGCCTTCACGGTCTCTGTTCATCTTTTCTCTCCATGTCCTTAAAAATACATAATCTATAAGTTCTGTATAATAAATGTTATTGTGATCGAGTTGTTTTATTGTATTTAAATGCTATTACAAAGGCTGTATTTCTCACTATCAGTCACAAATTAAAATAACTAGTAATAATAGATTGTGACAGAAGTTTTCCCACCCTGTCTGTCAAAATGACGACAATGAGAACGAGGCTGTCCCCGCTCAGGTGTCACTCGCTCTGTTGTGTATGTGCACTGATTTAGCACCGACTGTTGACAGCTCACTTTCTGTCAGATTAAACAGATGTATACTCTGTTCTGCATTTTGTTTTATTTAAAAATAATTCTGACTTTAACTTATCAGAGTGTGAAAGAGATGGAGAATGTCTGTGAGAACTTTTCCCAGCCCTGTTATCTAAAACATTCTGCCTGGTGACATTTTCCTTTGAGGACAACTTCATATCTGATGGTTGCAACAGGACCGGGGTCCAAGGAGGGCTGCTGAGGGTCCCAACCAAAGTATCGTAGTATAGTCATTGTAGCCTCAAAATGTACCCTCAACTTGAGTTGCACAGAAAACATTGTGATATGTCACCGTAGGAAAAGTAAAAATGATAAAATGAATGATGGTTGATTAGTGAAATTAAGGATGCACAATCAAAGTGCAAAATCTAAATCACAGAAGCTGTTATTATTTAAAGGTAAATGTGTGACATTATAACTCTATACTACTATTTTAGTACTGCAATGCTGCAGAGATTTTAGTTTTAAGTGAAAATGAAATTTGTGTTGTGAAAATAATCATTCCCCATCATCATAATAAATGTGAAAATAATCACAATATGACCATTTCGTGCAACCCTAAGTGTAATCATTGAAATCTGCTGCTATTGAGGGTGGCTGGAATAAAAACTGATGGTGGATTTACAAACTATCCTCTGAGGCCCAGCTCAGGTCTCACTCTCTGCTTTTGTCAGTGGGAATCAAACATGACACTCCCAGTAGTCAAACAGAGAGAGATCGCTGGTGATCGGTGTGTTATAGGCAGAATCAGGCCCCCGCTGGGCAACTGACCAGAGGGGGCAACAGGAGAGGTGGGGCAGTTAGCCTGTTAAAGGTCTGCCACAGCCTCTTCTTCTTCTTGTTTTTCTACAAAATAGTCAGCCTGTCTTTAAAAGAAAACAACAAAAAACATGAGGAAGTTAAAAACAAAGCAATGAAAAAGATGAAGGGATGTGAGGAGCAGAAAGGGGGACAGGCGGATGGTGGGCGAGCTGAGTGAGAGAGGGTGATTTTGGGCGGGTCATAAGTTAGAGAGGGCATGAGTCATGCTGCTGAGCTCACAATCTGCAGTATTAATAAAGCCTTTCACAGCATGAGTGTTTGAAGTCTAACAAGGACCCCGCCCAGGAACACACAGAGAAAAAACCAAGTTCACAGCCAACAACGCAGCCCCGGCAAAAACCCTCACACAACGCTCTTCACATAAACAGCACAAAGAAACCAGGATAAACCGCCAATATCCATATTTATTATTGAATACATAACATAATAATTATTACACTGTGCCAAGCCCGCAGGACAGTGCAACTAATCCACTTCCTAAAGACTTTTCCCACACAAATCAAACTGGTTAGGATGGAAGAAAACAGCTTATATCCTCCACCATGTTGTGTGCGAGTAGTTTAATAGACAGCTTTACTTATAAATTACTATCTAATTATACAATGAACAAGAACAAAGAATGAGGATATAAATCACCATGTATTGTACTCAATGTTTTACATGTTTTCCATCTTGTCACAACAATTTTTTCAAAGTTTTTTAAACACAATCAATCAGATTTGGTCACTTCATGTCATCCAACCACACCACAGTAGCACAGTGAAGTTACGTCCACATTAGGATACATGTTGAGTTACGTCTCTTGTTGTCTCCGCACAACTACCAACTCTGGATTTTACAACCATAAGCAAAAAACTATCTCATAACAGCGAGGTTACAACACTGGTGATAAATGTCTCCTTACAGTCATAATGACTCTAGTGACAACAGAGAGGAGGCGTATAAATCACTGTAGAGGCCTATCATTAGTGTTTGGCTGAAACAGCACTAACAGTCAATCAATGCATCCGAACTCTGGGACACAGATAGTAACTAGCGCCTTAAAGGGAGGATGAAATTAATGAAGACTGGAGGAGGTGGGTGGAGAAATTATCACCTGCAGGGTACAATAACATAAACCAATATGCACATGCACCCTATGATTATTAATGGAAAGAGAACAGTGAAGGGTTGTTAGTTAATGGGTTGAGTTGTAATATCTTCAATAAGGCGCTTCAACGGGCTGTAAATCAGAACATAAAATAGTCATGTGGGGATTGAGAGTGACATTGAGCGTCTCATATTCACAGACAGCGGTCTGGCTGGGAAACAGAGGATTGTGGCTTTTTAAACCATGTGGAGATATCTGGAGCTCTTAAGCTCGAGGGCTGGTAGTGAAAAACAAGATTTTACTGCTGCCGTCAAGAGCCAAAACACGATAAGGTTTAGATGTAATGAAGGCCGAATGTTTACTCTGCCTTCAGAAGATCCTGTTTGACTTGAGAGAGAACTTTATTCACTAGGTGGCATGCATCATAGTTGACTGTTTGTAGTAAGAATAAACATAACTGTGTGGGTGCAAATTGAAGGGCTTTACGTGACAATGTGAGCCCGAGTATGTAATTCAGTGTAGCTCACTAAGTGGACGATAAATGCAGATGCAGTGTCGGGAAATAAAAACAACAGAGATGTGAAGAAAATTACACCAGCGGGCTACAAAGGGAGTACAAACCAGTCAGCCTAACATTAAAAATGTGAAGAAGTACACATTTAAGCAGATTATAAGTAAGTAATGTGTATTATTTGTTCCTGATGATTATGACTACAATTAAAATAAATAAATAGGAGAGTAAATTAAGGAGAGTTGGAAGATGTGTCAAATAAAGGCATTACATCAAAATATAAACAACATACACTACATTTTATGGCACAAGCCTTACACCGACATATAGAGAAACAGGTGAGCTCGAGGCACACAGTGAAACAGAGTGATTAACAGCTGCAGCAGGTGTATGGTCACCCCCACCCCCCCGACACAGGCAGCCCCAGGGCACAACCAGCCACACTCACCCTCTATATCCCCATCACCATAAAACACTAAACACTGTGTGAGAACCACAGGAGAGCAACACATAGGTCTAATAGACATGGACTGTGTCGTCACCAATCACAGTTTTTACAGCTGATTAAACACATTTTAAAGACCTTCAGATAAAATGTCACAGTGTTATCACCAAGAAATAAAAGGGTGAGTGAATAAAATGCAAAAATATATTCAACCATATTTGCATATTTAAATTAATTTAATACTTTTTTTTTTTAGACCAATTAAGACAAGCAGCCTGTTTCAGCCACATAACACTGAACTCATTCAAGTCAAACATGGACTTAAATGCAACAAAGATACAAGTCAGAGTATATTTATCCAAAGCTATGATCAATAAATAAATCCTAATCTGTGCCAATAAAAGTCCAAACAGAGAGATCAAAGATAAAAGTTCAGCATAGGACAGAAACATCTTACGGTGGACTTTTAAACCTTGAGACTTAAACAGCAGAAAGAGTCCCACTGCTGCACCCTGCCACCTACTCAAACAGTGTTAATGCACACACACACACACACACACACACACACACACACACACACACACACACACACACACACACACACACACACAGACACACAGACACACACACACAGAAGCTATAAAAAGGGTCCCTCCCTGTACACAACAATCACTGTAGTTATAGCCTCCCTGTCTTTTCCCTCCCTCCTACATGAAATCCATCACTATCTCATCACTGTCTACCCCCACCATTCCTCTCAAACTCTCCCTGCTCTCCTTCCCCCTGTAATAGTCTCCCACCCTCCCCCCTCTTGTCCCTTTTCTCTCTCTCCTAAACTCAACCATTGCTCCGTTGCCTCCCGTGTATGCCTGGCTGAACAGTGAGAAAGCCTGTCCGGTTAGTGGGCCAGAGCCAGGGCTGATGAGCTCTGGATGAGGCTTCTGTCCTCTGGCCTGATCGAGTGTTGTAACATGGGTGGTCCACGCTCGGAAAGACACCGTCAGTCACAACAATACTATTTAGCTGCAGTGATACAGTCGGGAACCAGATCCACATTCGTAAGGGCAGTTTAATGTTATCAATATAGTGGATATGACTTGTAAAAGAAGGGCTAAGCTTAAAAATAGACAGTGGTGATTCAGAATATTGTAATTGCTGTACAAAAATGTTTTTATGAAAGGGAGGAAGTGTGTATCAAAATCTTTTTCCTGTTCAAATATGCCCAGAACTGGAATCAAGTTATCTAAGAATGAGAAATGTTACACAAGATGATAAATGTAGTTTGAAAGGAAGTGTCAGCTAAAACGAGAGATAAGCGATATGGTTGAAACAGTAGGAATATTTTTAAAATATCGACATACACTCAGTGGCCACTTTATTAGGTACACCTATACAATCTTATGCAGTTTGTTTCTGTCCTTACAAAGTTTATAATGTTTCATTTTGTTGTCCTTTTGTGCAGATTATTATGAGCTTTGTACCTAATAAAGAGAGTCTACATATCAATATGGAAAATGTAGGCAAAGCATAGGTTAGCATAGGAGCTAGCATTGGAGAATTAGCTTTTCAGTGTGTGGCAGATTAATGTTTAAATGGACAATTTCACTGTCTGACATCTTTGTGTTTTTTTTTTCCTCACTACAAAATGTATTATCAGCACAGAGGTGACCTCACTGGTCTGCTCCATCTCATCACATTAGGTTCACCTCATCGTACCTTTGGGGGAAAAGTGAAAGACACCATTACTTTAACAATGCTTCATCAGCATCGACCGTGACAAAGACAGCAAGCATTCACACATTTCCTGCCTCCACTGTAATGATTTTCTGCCTGTGGCTCCAATGAGGCATACTTTAAATAACTATCTTTGTAAGAAGACACAAAGAACACGGAGAAGGCCAAAATAAATCTTTATGGCACCGGATGATTAATTTCAGAGATGTTTTTTGGGGGATTATATTTTATTACCCTAACTTGTAACAAGGCCATGTTAATTACTTGTTATCTTGCAGTTGATTAATAACAAAATACAAGAAAGTGGAAACTAAAGTCTGTGAAGAGGACCATCCAGTCCAGTCAAGTTCTTGTTGAGGAAAATAATCCTTTATGAATGAGCACAAACATTTACCTGTATTACAAGTTCTGGTGTTTCAAAACATAACATGGACTGAATACTTTTAGTTTTCTCAACACTGTTATTCTGTTACTAAAGGTTGGGTGCCATTTTATTAGCGTTGCTGACTCGGTTCCTTGTCTAATGCAAATCTCTGATGTTTATGGACGACTGGAATAAGTTTAATTATTACACAGAAACTCTCTTGTTCACATAAAATCCCCAAATTTACCACATTTCCAGAATTGAGGCAGTAAATAGCCTTTAAATGATGCCAAAGCAACTGGTAGAGTACACAAAGTTACCAGCCAAGGCACAAAAAAAACAACACTTTACCAGCGTCTGTCAGGCAGTAATTTCTCACGCTAGATTTAATACACATTATTTTTACCTAAATGGTCTCTGGAGGTGGCGTTTTATTATTTATTAGCTCTCCGATGAGACAGACAGAGACTCTGATTTTAAAAAGTGAAATGGCAAAAAGCAGACGGCAGTATTCAGGTTACCATTGTTGTTATGGTGCTCTTACATTAGCTTGCTGCTGCTGAATCAGGGGTGATAATTAATAGCCTGTTCTCTCACTACTGCAAACACAGACAACCTCTCACACTCTCACACACACACACACACACACACACACACACACACACACACACACACACACACACACACACAGATTTAGGACAGCACCTCTCTCCCAGCCTTTCCCAGATTTATAAAGTGCTGTGCAAACATACTGTACACTGTGTGACCTTGTAGCTACTGGCTGCTCTAACGACCGTCAGCCTGTTCAAAAACAGTGGCTGAAAGTAACTAAGTACATTTACTCACTGTACTTAAGTACAATTTTGAGGTACTTTTACTTTACTTTAGTATTTCTACTTATGCTTTATATTACACTGGACAAAACAAGCTCCACCTCGAGCAGCTACACTGGTGCATCAGTATTACCAATCTAATAATGTAATATATAATAATATATCGGTCACAGGGGATATTTCACTGCAGAGTGAGAACTTTAACTTTTAATACTTGTAATGTTTACATTGTTGTATTGGTATTTTTACTTCCACTAGTCCACAACACTGTGCATGTGTGGCAGTCTCAGCTTCAACATAAAGTGGGCCTGCTTACATCTGTCTACCATTACAGTAAATTAGGCAGTTAAGTTACAGAACTGGTTGTTACACTCACTTAAGTTCCCATGACATGAGGCTGCATCGACCAGCTGACGGGCCAGCTGATGTCAATATTATGAGATCTCATATGCAACATCAGTCATTTGAAGAAGATGTGATCAAACCACAATGCCATACATTTATAGATTATACTCCTGATCGTTCAGATCTAACAAATTGTCTACACAGGAGGAGATTCAGCTGCATGTCATGGTGTTTGAACTCAATGGCTATCACTCTATCGTACCCTATAATACACTAATGTTTATCACAGACTGACTGCATATCGAAGCCTCAACTCATAACTGAAGAAGTGAAACCCTAAATATGTTAAGTGTTGACAATTAGGAGATAATATTCACCGAGGACCAGTTTGAAATCACGTCAGAGGTGTAACAATAGTACTGCAACATAGTGAGATTTGAATTTGATAACATTTTTATGTATCATCTCCATTGTTTATCAGATTAATTTAGGTTTAAGAAGTCTAAAAAACTTGAATAAAATTAATATAACTAAAGGAGAGGTTGAATAGAACTAAAATGTAAGTTTTGCTAATTAATTTAAAGATATTTGCTTCGTTTTGTACATTAATAATAAAAACAAGATCCCGTCCCTACACCCTAAAATAATAAATGTGTCTTAGAAAAAACTAAACCACACATTTCTACTCTTAAAACTTCCACTGACAACACTCAAAATATTAACCACTGGTTACCACACTTTCCTTTTCAGACTAGGAAGTCCAAACCACTACTAAATAACATAAAATAAATGAAACAAACTTTCTCTACATAAGAGCAGAAGTACCAAACTTCCCACTGAGGTCACAGGGTTAACAGTAAATCATTGCTATAAAATCTGTTCCCCCTCATCTCCATGTGTCACTAACACTTGTGCAAAGACAGACAGATGACCGGTGAGTCCAACAGCTGCACTGACAGTCACAAACATGAGCAGCCAGTAACAGGTTTGAATGGCAACAGTCAGGGAGAGGAGAGTTAAAGGAGAGTCCAACAACAGGGCAACCATCCCCTCTCTCTCTCTCTCTCTCTCTCACACACAAACAATAAAGTTATTATGCCTCTTTTTTCCCCTTTCCCCCCTGACTCACAGTTAATCCCATTTACTGTGAGATTTTAACAACAGAGTTTTGTTGTTGTGTCCGAAGATTAACTTTTTGCTCGGTCCCACAAGAACTTATACCAGGAGTTTAAAAACACAATAAAGCGACATTAAACGTGTATAAAACTCTATTTACCGTCGGGGGATACTCACTTCTAGTTTGGCCAACAGCAGCACACACTATCCACCTGATCTCATGTCGGAAACGCAGCCGAGGACGAGGAAAGAGAGGAAGGGGGGAGAGAAAACACAGACTCCCTGCAGCAACAAAAGTTGTTTCCGCGAAGAAAAGGTGACTCCGTTAAACCGTCGGTACCGTCGTCATAACGAAACAGACCCGAAACAACGGACACGGTGACAGACAACAGACAGAAACACAGACAACAGACACACGGACTAACTGTGGTAGTGCTCTAGCTTTGGGCTGTACATACAAAGTGTGTCGCATTCCTATGGTTTCAGCGGCCCAGTATCATGACGTCACCGGAGAGAGAGAGAGAGAGAGAGAGAGAGAGAGAGAGAGAGAGAGAGAGAGAGAGGGGAGAGAGAGAGAGAGAGAGAGAGACAGAGAGAAAGAGAGAGAGAGAGAGAGAGAGAGAGAGAGAGAGAGAGAGAGAGAGAGAGAGAGAGAGAGAGAGAGAGAGAGAGAGAGACAGAGAGAGAGAGAGAGAGAGAGAGAGACAGAGAGAGAGAGAGAGAGAGAGAGAGAGAGAGACAGAGAGAGAGAGAGAGAGACAGAGAGAGAGAGAGAAAGAGAGAGAGAGAGAGAAAGAGAGAGAGACACCGAGCCTCTTTTTCTCTGCTCTTCCTTCCGGTCACACAATAATAAAACCTGTCTGTACAGGTGTTTAATATTGTTACCTGTACAGGTGATGTGGCTCTATTACACCTTCTCGATTTCAGGGCTCCAACTATTACTTGTTTTAAATTTAACTGATTTTAACGTTTGGTCTATAAAATGTCAGAAAATATAAAAATAATATATAATAATAATAATAATAATAATAATAATAATAATAATAATAAATATATATATATATATATATATATATATATATATAATAATATCTTCCATATTCACTAAACCACACAGAACAGAAGGAAATAAAAAAATAAAAATAAACATTTAACTTATTATTAAAAATAGCTGCAGATACATTTCCAGTTGATCGATTAAATTGATTAATTGCTTCTGCTCTCACTGATTTGAACTGTATAGGTTGATTGTACCGATCCAATAAAGCCACAGAGCAACTATTACTGATGTATGTATTTAAACCTTCAATAATAAACAGCATGTAAAGGCCTCAAATACAAATATTAATATTTTAAAAGTTATTTGCACTGATAAAAGTGATTATTTACTCTATGAACCAAGAAGTGAAGCAAGTATCTGGATGTAGACGAGACGTTATTATTTGTTGAATCTCCAGCCAGTAATTTAGGTCAATGAGGATATAAACTAATTTATAAATAAGCATTTAAAGTGCTTTTTTTTTTGCTTGTCACATGACAATATGACCCCGACAGTATGGTGGTTGCTATTCATAGCAGTCTGATCAACACAGGCTGCTGTGAAATACCATGTCTGCCTGCTAATATAGCAGATCCATCACCACAGACAACACAGAGATCCATTAAAGCAACTCATGACACACTGGCTGAGGAATTGTGTCAGCACTGTTGTTTTAATCACATATTTAAACGCTACTTGCAATAAAATAAAAATATATGTATTTTCTTTTGACTGTGTGTGCTCCGCTTGGCATGTTGCTGGGAGTGTTGCCAACCTAAACAGCACAAATAGTTTTAACACAGGTCAAATTAAAACGGGTGCATAAACAGAGAGATACTTCAAAGAGAGATTTATTGTTATGAACACAACATGTCTGATTACTCAGACCTATCTTCTATGTTTTATACCTGAGTGGATTCCTAAATAAAAGAACAAACAAACAAATTGAATGTCTTGTTGCCTTACTAACTAACTTAGAAACAGAAGTTATTTAAGCCAGAATATAAAGGATATAGTAACTAACAAATACATCTCCTTATTCTCCTTCAAATTTCTTTAGAAAACAGTAATTAGTTAAAACACATTTGATCAGTTTATAACAGGAGTTCCTTATCAAAGCCAGCCTAAGTGAGTCTATGTAGTTCATTATCTACCATCTATTATCTTACAGACAACAAGGTGTCAGCATCAATAAAGGAAAATGCCTGTAGACATTCCTCCGACTGTAAGAATACAACAGGAACCACTGAGTCCACTCAACGTATCCACAGACACACAAACCTGCCAATGCCGAGGCAGAGTTCAAACAAAGCACGCAGTGTTGTAGCCAATGAGGGCCGACTTCCAGGAGCAGGTTGTGGAATGTGGAAAGGTCAATGATAAAGAGAGAGAGAGAGAGAAAGAGAGAGCACCACGTAGAGCGCACACACACACACACACACACACACACACACACACACAGAGTGCCAGACTGTACACAGGACCTTCAGACCTTTGCTCCGCCTTCGCTTACAGAAAAAAAGTTCACTGCAAGGAGTTCATGAACTACCTGCAAGTTCACGGACAAACAGGATGTTAAAGGTACATTAAAATCTCATTGAAAGAGAGAGAGAGAGAGAGAGAGAGAGAGAGAGAGAGAGAGAGAGAGAGAGAGAGAGAGAAACAAGATGCAAACCCAAAACAATAACAATAAAGAATTTAATCTACACTCAAGACAAAGCGGACGAGGCAACATTTGACCAATGTTGTATTTGAAATGAACATCTGTATAAAGGAAATGACTGTATGTGTGCTGAGAGCAGCAATCTCTGAACTGTGAGCAACCATGATCACAGTGGTGATATGTGCACACTGATTTCCACACAAGATGAATCACTGTATTTCTTAAGATTCTGACTTTATTCCTTTTATAGTGGCTTATTTTTTTGGGAAAACCAAAAAACTACCACGCACTTTAGACCATTCAAGCACTGTATTAAACCATGCACCTTAGGCCACTCACCTAATGCTCCTTATTTTCCATTTTGCCTCTTGTTGTTGTTGTTGTTGTTGTTGTTAGTAGTACTTTGCATGCCTCCTTAAATTTTAAATCTTCTGTTTTATCCTGGTCTGTGTATACTGCTGGAAACTGTGAATTCTCCCTTGGGGATGAATAAAGTATCTATCTATCTATCTATCTATCTATCTATCTATCTATCTATCTATCTATCTATCGTCAGAAGTACATAGAATATAACAACATTTTAAGATATGCTTACAACTTTAGCATTACTTCTTATCAATTATTATTTTTTAAAACTGCTTATCTTTTTTTGTTTCTAACCTGTAGCACTTTGACATCTTTTGATGAAAAGGGCATTATAATTAAAATGTATTATTATTATTATCATTATTATTATTAATAATAAAACAAAATATTTAGTCAAAGTATTTAAGTATCATGTTGTCTGTTTTAGTTAGATGTTGGATATTAATTGTTGTGTTATAAAGTTATAACTGTTAGTAAGAAGTTTACACAGTTAATCCAATACACACTACCCAGCTTGCCCCCACTGTACCTCTTCATAGGAAAAAACAACACTGCTGCCAACTGAAGAGTTTCAGCATTTGTTTCAGCTATGCACTGGTATGGTTATGAATGAAAAAAATCACATCATACAGGAAACTAAAACCAGTATACTGGTTCATCCAGTATATTTCCCAGCACTCAAACAGCTAGGAACAAGGTGTTGCTTCTAATTAGTTTATTGTGAGTGCATTGTTCGCCATGTTTCCCTGCTGTAACATATAAAACAGATCAATCAAGGAGAAAAAGCCCCAAAACGTTCATATCTTAAAACCAGTTTTTATTGAATAAATTGGCTTTGTCACTAGCCAGAGGACTGAGGCTGCACTTCCTGTGGCTGCCTTTTAGTGTTTACAGATGACAATCTGACGCAGTAACATAAGCCACAGATGGCAGTGAGAGTCAATGCTGTGCATCTAACGCTGCTCGTGAAAAATAAAAGAACAGGGGAATAAAAGTCATGTCTCCTCCTGATTGTTGATGGTGACTAGTTGGGAAGACTACAAGAGTGACCTCTGCACCTATTTAATGGACAGGGATACACTGATCATAAACAGATAAAGCAGTTAAAGCATTTATTGGAGTTCAAGCAAAGCTTCAACCTCCAACACAAATAATAAAGGTAAGCAACACGCTGTTGTCTCGTGCTGCTGCTGCCCTCTCACAACATTACGTAACAGCCTGGGCATCGTGTTGAGACAGGTAATATCCTGATTGTTTCATCTCAGCGTACTCATGATCTTTTAAGCCATTACATTACAGAACATGTAGATTAAGACCAGCAGATAAACTGATCAGTAAAATCTGACATTAAAATCAGATTCCACACGACTTTGTACCAAAAGTACTACAACACATGATTCAGTGTACCGGCTATCAGCGGTGGCGCCATCATTACACGGTGACGGCATGTTGTCAAAAACGGGAGACAATGAGGTGATGTTGTTGTGAAGAAGTCACATCGATCTCTCCCCTGTCATTAGCGAGGCCAGTCGTCACTCCATCAACCGTTCTGTACAGCAGATCAGTGAATGTTATTCAGACTAGAAAAACATAGCGAGGGTAAGAAATTATGAGCAAATCAATTAGAACTCCCAGCCGTTCTCTCAGGTCAGCTGACCAGCTGCTCCTGACAGTGCCTAAAGCTAGGCTTAAGCTCAGAGGGGAACGGCGTTTGCCGTTGCAGCTCCAAAACTTTGGAATGGATTGCCGCTGCACATTAGACAGGCCACCTCTCTGTCTCATTTTAAAACTCTTCTTAAAACCCACCTCTTCTCTTCGGCTTTTGATACCATGTAGAGCGTTGATTCTATGTGTACACATGCATATTTTTATCTTGTGTGGGCAGTGCTTTTTATTTATTTCTGTTATTTATTTTACTTATTTTATTTTATTGCTTTTATCTTTTATTGTGTATCTTCGATTGTGTTATTTATTTATTCTGTATATCTTTTGTGCAGCACTTTGGAAACCTTGTGTTTGTTAAATTCGTGCTATATAAATAAAGTGGATTGGATTGGATTGAGATTCTTATAATCATTCATGTAACTGTAACTAGCTGTGAAAATATGGACAACAAAAAACAGTGTAATTGTATTTGATTGTTCCCACAGAAATTATATTTGATAGTTTAAAATAAACTGTTGATTTATCTGTTGATCACTCAGTCAGTTAAGTAAGTTGTTTGGTCCATAAAATGGTGAAAAATATTGATCGTTCCCTGTCACAGGACTAAACACTCATCTCGTAGACAAGTAATAGTTTGGTCCTGATTCAACAGCAGGATCCTGAGAGAGAATCCCAAACTTACGTACACTGCAACAAAAGTCCCGCCTGTGTCATCCAGACAATTACAGTGTTAAAAAATCAACTCTTGTTTCACCTCCTTGTATAACATACTGC